TTTTTTTTTTTTTTAAGGAAGAATGCAGTAAATTTCTTCCAAGAATAACAAAACTACTCTCACTCTTTATTTCCGTGTAAACGGCACGCCATTATCAGCCATTTCGTTTAACGGTGAAAGTTTTCCCTTGTTTGATCGGTAATACGAATCTCCATTACTTAAACTCATAACTTCAAATTTATTCTAACTAAATTGCGGAAATTGTAATAATAAAAGGAATAAAATAAATTGGTAATGAAAATTTACGAGTGATTCGTTAATAAATATCTATTATAAATTCAGTAAGAGTAACATAAAATATTATACGATTTAAAAGAAAATTGCAACTTTGTTTTCATAATAACATTATTGGCAGTTTGATAGTTTTATTATTGTTCGTAAAATTTTATGCCAGTTGTGCAACAATTTTTTTAATATTTTTCCAAGATACATCTTTAAAGATTATAATACGAGGATTAATGGAGTTGATAAACGAGATAAAATAAAATAATAAAATGGAAATTAATTTTGCAGTGGCACAATGTTTTTCTGTTTTCCTTATAGAATAGTATATTGGATTCTCACGTACTTTCATGCTTTTTGTATGATGTTCAATAAAGCTAAAATGTTATTTAGTTATATTAATTTTTAGGTATATATTCTGAATAATTAACCGATACTTTCTTGTAAATATATGTCAATTAACATAACGATACATAAAATAACATCGTGTCTTTTAAATAGATCTTTTCTTTTTTCTTTTACCTTATTATTGACACGCGTGGAAACTTCTAGAAACTTTCCAGTTCGATAGCGAAAATCTTTTCACTCGATCGTTAGAAAACGATGCCATTTACTTTTTCATGCATATCAATTTACAATATCAATTTGATTAGATATGTATAAATATACACTCTATAAATATACTATTCGAAGAATTCAATTTTTTAATTAAAAACTACCAAGTTGAATCACAATTTTTGCAATTATTATATAAATATTATTAAATATACAAGTATCTTTGGCAAAATTGTAATTATGTTTATGATTTTCAAAGCCAACTCTATTTATTACTAATCAATTTTTACAACGACACTTCAACTTTTTGATTAACTCAAACTTCTCTTAGAAAATTTCAAACTTCAAATTTTAATTAATTCGATAATGTTTCAATTTTTCAATGTACACAAGTATCCATTGAATTTCACTAAGATGGTGCTCTAAGGATAAAATAGTGCTACAAGATGGCGTGAAAGTATCGATAACTTCTTCAATCGCCTACGATTTCCGAATTATGCGAAAAATTTTCGCTCGTAGAGCGTCGTTATTGCTCCCGTAATTGGCTGTTTATCGATAGAAAGCAGAAGGAGAATTGAAATGAAAGTGGCGTTCCATCGCGTTACAGGGATTAAACTTTGTGTTTACGCTTCCTGACTGTTTTCACCGACGATTCATCAAAGTGATTCATTTCATAGCCTTTGATTTGATATTTGGAATTTTTTTTCCCGATTATCGTATTGTTAGATATTGTTAGATTGATTTTTGTTAACTCTATTCATAACTATTCGTTTGTTTATTTATCCGAAAAAAAATACTTATTATATCTCTGTGGATCTGTAAATTATGATTTTAAATTAAAAAATTTAAATTAAAAAATGGAATTAAATAAAATAAAGTTTGTGTATCGAGATTTGTTTCTTTCATTAAGAGATTGATAAAGATGCTAAATATATACAATCATTCATTAGATCAAATGTTAATAAAAGAAGAGTTAGAATTTTGGAATAAAAATTCTGCTCCTAATATGTTACTTACCGCAACACGGTTTACCAAAGTCAAGTCGTACCAATTGCACCATGTAGGGTTCAAGCAGGTTCACGTACCACCAGGGTCTGTGCTCTGGTCTCGTAAGGGTGCAAGTTTGAGGGGTGTAAATCTGTCCACTGCTGCCATCCACCGCACGCTGTGGAATTCCACCCTCCGAGGTGCTCGACTGCATAGGAGCTTTGCCTCCGGCAACATTTAAAACTATAATTTAAAAAATAAAAATTAGAAATGCGAACCCTTAGATTTTTCACTTAAGTTTTACATTTAAATTATGTAAAGAGGAAACTTTATAAAATTGAAAAAGAAAAAAAGTATCTTTTAAATTATATATAAATCTATCTAATAAAAAGTAACCTTATCTCAATTATTTTATTCTTTAAAGATAAAAAGTATAATATATCAGTTATCCCAGAAAATATTTCAAAGTATCAAGAAAAATAATTATTTCCATATTTGATATGAAATTTTACGAGCAATTTATTATTAAGGGATTAAAATTTCATATTCAGAGCAAAACAAGTTTGAGAAATTCTTTTCGAGCTTTCCATTGAGGTGATGATGGAATAAACCGCAAGACACGCGACAGCCAGATTAGTCTCTTCTTGCGCATCCCTTGTGCGGTTTCTTGCATTCCTAGATACCAAGTGCACAACACGCATCGCACACGACGTGCCCCGCCCCAATTGCGGTACTTGCCACACGTGCTCATAATGTGCAAAACGTCATTACATTAACTCGTATACTATTATAGTTATTAGAGACTATAACTATCTTGAAACTGGTTATACCAGGTTTCGATCCCTTGACAATTATCGTCGATTAGGGAGTTTATGCGTTACATTAAATATGTATTTGATAATTGTGAACATAACTCAATTGAGATTTATAGTCGAAGAAGGATTCGAAAACTCAATCAGTATAAATCATGTTTTTTTGAAAATCATCTATTTGTTTAAATTTTTTAGCGATTAGTGATATTTCGATTAATTTAACAACGACTGATTGAAAGTTTTAAACAATAAAATGATTTTTGAACACTTGAACGTTTGTAGTTGATTAGTTGATAGTTGATTTTTCCATTATGTAGATAATTTAATATATATATATTGTTTTTATCTGGAAAAACAATAATTCAATATATTTATTTGAATAAAATACAATTTTGATCGAGAAAAAAGCATATAATATAATTTAAATAAAAATATCTAATGCAAAATTAAAATTGAGATTGAAGTTCTTATAAATAATAATCCGATAATTTAAAAGGAAATTTTATAAAGTAAAGCAAGAATATCGAAAGTAAAGTAAAAACATAAAGAATCACTTTGCTCGCAATCTCATGTCCTGATTTACTTAAGATTATTAATTAGAACGTTCCACATATTAACGAGCATTATATTAAATTACATATTCGTTTATATTTGACACCCTTTACATATTCTTCGTTATTCTTTAAGAAATCTCAATAATTAACATTATTCCAATAAATCTAATTACAAAATTGATTCACATCTATTATCATCAAAATATAATATCGTATTATTATATTACATCAACCTTGTATAAAACAATTTGTAATATAGTTTCAATAATTAGCACAATAGCAATCATAAAGCTGACTCACCATAAATTATTGATTCAATGATATCCTATTTCCATTGAGCCTTATCGAAAAAACTTTGAAGACATCATGATATATCATACACCATGTAAATAATTAGTAACATTCTATTTAATATTCAGCACAATTTGAAATGAGATAATCCTCCATTTTGTTCGAACTTTATCAATTTACAAAGTTAAAAATTATACTATATCGATTCATAAAATTATATTATACTTCGTACAAAAACATTCGTATAATCATGAATATAATTGCAATCCAATCGCAAGGCTGATTCATAACATTGTCGACATCTTATTTCCAGCCTCCGTCATAGAAGGACGAATTACTTCTCTACAAGGCTCTGAGAAAATCTACGCGGCTCATTGCCATTCCCATTGAGCGAGAAGAAGGTCGGGTATCGTACGGTTGAACACTCGTTTGGCACGCAGATGCTATTCGCGAAACTTTTGTGCACATTGCACATTCGCGAAGAAGTTACCGGGCTTGCGGTAGTTTTACTGTACCGTAACGTGAGAATTTTATCGGCGCCTAACTGGCATTACCACGATCGCGGCTAACGCACCATTCGAAACAAGATCGCCATTTTTGTCATCTAGGTTAATCTCTGATCGAAGCGCCACTTATAACTAGCCAAGTTCTATGGATGGAAAGAAATCGCAAAAGTTAGGTTTGAAGATTTTTTTTTCTCGATGAAAATTGGCGCGTAAAAGATAGATCGATTGTAAATTCAATTTAATATCGATATTGGTATTTGATTATATCGCGAGATAAAATTGAGGTTAAGTTAGAACATGATGAATCATTCTAAAAATTTTCTTTTCGGATAAAATAAATATAGATAAATATTATACAAAAGAAAAATAAATGAATGAAATAAATAGAATATAAATTTTATAATTGTCAAGAAAATACTTACGATCAGTATTATTTTTATACTTGTAGATAGAATTAGCAATATAAAATAGAATAAGTATAATGAATACAGTTATAAATCATAATATCGAAATATAAATAGAAATCATGATTCCTTTCTGTAAATGAAAAACGCATAATTGGTAAAAATTATTTTACCATGAAGCAATCGAGGTTAATCCTGATCGACCCCTATAAATCGGCGTTACTAATTCATTCAGATGATGGGGAGATATTATGGCCAAAGCCAATGTCACTGTGAAATCTCTTTAATAGGCAAACCTCTAATAAACGTACACGTATAGAGGCATTAGATTAATGATGCATAGTATATTAAGGAAAAAATGAGATTTTAAATATATTTATAATATTATGTTATAGAATCTATTAAAAAATTTTCTAATTAAAAATTTTAATTCAAAAAAATTGACAAAAATCTACTTGATATTCGAACAATTCGACATGTTTCAAAATTGAGATCTTTCAAACTTGAAAAAACATGTTACTTTCTGATTATGAGAATGATCAGAGTAGATAGTACTATAGTGTACTGTTTCAACGTTCTTATTTTTTAAAAATTCACGAGTACGATCTGTAAAGTCACGACTTTAAAGATATATATATATACAGAACAATTGGAAGATATACGAATGAGACAGCAAAAGCATTGTACGAAGGACATTAGTGAGGAGACAAGTCTGTTATAACGTTACATTGTGCACACCGTGCAAATCATATATTCTATCTTTCTAACTGTTCAATTTCTGTGAATGTTTCGAATAAAAAGCTGTGACTTATATCCTAATTATATCTACAGTTATTGGCAAGGATTAGTCGAATAGTGTTTCATCTGCATGTAAGATTAAACGATAAATTATTTAAGATTTACGAATATTTCTATAAATGTATAGTAAATACTTTTATGACTCGATACGATAGAATTATAAGATAAGATACGACCATCAGATTATGGTCAGATCAAAAGTCATAAAAGGAAATTTTTATTTACTTTTATGGTAAAAAGACATCGAACGTTCTCCTTGGACGCTTTACTAAATTCAGTCATTGTAAATGATACATTTTGCACGTAGAAACATTAACATTTACGTTACACAAAATTCTCATAATATATACAGACAGTAAATTATATAAAGTAATTATAATACAAAAGAAATTCAAAGTTTCACAGACATTTGAAAAATACACCTATCACAAATATCTACATTGATTATTATTCTATCAAGTGAAGAATCCTGAATATTCGAAGTAGGAAGTCGAAGCCAAGAAATTCAAACTTCTAAAGCATTGGAATAGACTTTTAAAAAAGGTATCTGATTCCAAAATCGATCTATATTCTAGAGTGATTGTGAGTAGACTACATTGAATTACTATCAAACAATTACGTGATGAAAATATCAATGTTTTCTCAAGCAAAGAATCATGAATATTCCTAAAGCAGGAAGGCAAGAAATTTGAACTTTCAATTTAAGAAGGCAATTAAATACACATTAATTGTATTCAAATAGAGTAAAAAAATGACAACTTTTTATTATAAAATTCAGAGTTTAATTTTGAATAAGTTATTTTTACATTCTGTATTGACTCAATATATTAGAGCATATAGGTGTGTACTATGTATATATAAACATAACCTAGTCGTACCTACCTCGAGCGAAGAAAACCGAATATGCGAAGAAGGAAAAGAAGCCAAGATCACGAAGTCAAAGAATTCGAATTTCGAAAGCATTCGAACAGTTCTTAAATAGTTTTTAAGAAAAAAAAATTATTCGATTATAAAGTCGAGATACGTTTTATCCAAGCGCAGATAGATTACACAGAGAACGTGTAATTGATGCGTTCTCGACCTAAACCTACATACCGACTCCTTTCAGTTATACTCGTTCCCACACGCGTTCTCGACACACACGTGGATACGTCATAATTTACAGTTACTTCTTACACGGATTATTACGAAAGGTTTCGATATATCTATTCAAACACGTTGGATCGAGCAAAAAGAGAGACGAGTTTCACCACGTGCTGGTATAGTTATCGACCAAGACCGGAACAAAGGAAAGCGGTTTCTCGTTATTGAAATTGTAATTTCACGAATTTTTTTTTGATCGTAACAATATAATTAACAATATATGATTTTAAGGAAACGATCGAGTATTTTTCTTTAAAGTACGTATTTTTTTATATACATATTGTTTAAAAAATAAAATAAGAGAAGGAATTATTGAAAATCGATGAAAATATCCTTGATAACTTAAATTGATAACCTAAAAAACGAAGCTTCCAATTTTTTTTATTCTTAATTTTTTATTTATTTGCTCCGAAACTTCTTGATTTATTTCAGCCTCACTTCTTAAATTTTTAAATTAATATAAATATATATAGATTATTATTTCAACATTTTAAACGCAAAACATGTATCTATATACACAGATGCATTACTTGAATATTTATAAGTAGGACTAACGATTGGAATACAGATACAAGCGATTTACATGCTAAGAAGCGTTGAAGCGATTAAACCGTAATTGGTCGATTGTAATAGTTCAATTTTAGCACGTTATTGCCAGTTAGTGGTCACGCATATGCATGCGAAGGTGTTTTCTATTTCTACGCACGGAACAATGTTAAAGGTGGAGAATGTTAATCGTAAGTATTTGCATATCATTGAAACTCTAATTAAGATTAGAATAATCGTATAT